GAGTGTGTGTGTGTGTGTGTGTGTGTGTGAGTGTGTGACCCTGGACCACAAAACCAATCATAAGGGTCCATTTTTCGAGATTTATACATCATCTAAATTGTGACCCTGAACCACAAAACCACTCATAAGGGTCCATTTTTCGAGATTTATACATCATCTAAATTAAAAGCTGAATAAATAAGCTCTCCATTGGTGTTTGGTTTGTTAGGATAGGACAATATTTGGCCAAGATACAACTATTTACAAAAGTTTGGAGACAGTAAGATTTATTTTCTTAAGAAATTAATACTTGTATTCACCAAGGATGCATAAAATTGATTAAAGGTAACATTTATAATGTTACGGAAGACTTCTATTTCTATTTAAATGCTGTTCTTTTGAACTTTTTATTCATCAAAGAATCCTTAAAAAAAAGTTCTCAAAAAATATTAAGCAGCACAACTGTTTCAACAATGATAACAATAAGAAATATTTCTTGAGCAGCAAATCAGCAGATGATTTCTGAAGGATCATGTGACACTGAAGACTGGAGTTTTGCTGCTGAAAATTCACTTTTTCCATCAGGGGAATAAATTCTATTTTACAATATTTTCAAATAGAAAACAATTATTTTAAATTGTAATGATATTTTAATATATTAGTGTTTTTCTGTATTTTTGATCAAATAAATGCAGCCTTGGTGAAAGTAAGAGACTTATTTCAAAAACAAAAAATGTGTATGACATAAAAAGTCTAAATTATGTATTTATGTATGTATATATCAACATTAAATCAGCAAAATTAAAATACTAGCACAGATTAAGAGTTTAAATTAAATGTATGTATCATATGTATGTGTATGTGTTTAGTCTACAAGAGATCTGGCACAGATCAGTGACCTACAGGCCCAGGTGGAGGAGGCCATGAAAGAAAAACAAGAGATCCAGGACAAGGTACCAAAAAGGCCCCAAATACACTAAAAATTCTTTGCAGGAGCCCGGAATTGCCTTCTGTCCCCTCATCATTATGTTCTACAGTACATAGTGGATTTGTAGATGGTTAGGGCCCATGCAGTGAGAAAGGTGCAGAGGGCTGGCCGAATGTGGTCTGAAACATGGAGTCTTAAACATGACCTCAGAGTGACCCGTGTGTTTTTATTCTTTTGGCAGCTTCACTCCCTGCAGTCACAGCTTGAATTTCAGGAACAGTCTATGGTGGAGAAATCGCTGGTCAGCCGCCAGGAAGCCAAAATCCGTGAACTAGAGACCAAACTAGAATATGAGAGGACCCAGACCAAACGTCTGGAGGTGAGTCACGTGACGCTCATACTGCATGGCAAATTCAATGAATTCATAGCAAGACACCGAAACAGGATAGTTCCGAAAAAAATATTTTATTTCATTTTGTATTTTAGTTGTACATTTCAGTTTAGTTTTAGTTTGATTTAATGTTTAGATTTTATTTCATGCATAATTCTTTTAGTGAACTGGATGCTTAACCAACGTCCATAGCGCATGCAGATAAACAACTCCATCAGTGGCCACAATTTATTTACAGGGAATTGCTTCAGTGTGTTTCTGTCTTTTTTTATGAGCTCTTATCTTTGGCTTTTCCATCTGTCCATGTTCGTCCTCTAGTCTCTTGTAACACGGCTGAAGGAAAACCTGGAGAAGATGACTGAGGAACGAGACCAGCGTATTGCCAGCGAAAACCGGGAGAAGGATCAGAACAAGCGCATGCAAAGGCAGATCCGAGACATAAAGGAGGAGATGACTGAACTGTCTAAGAAAGAGGCAGAAGCCAGTCACAAAAAACATGACCTGGTGAGTTCCAGAGCGCCCCCTGCTGTATGGAGATTCTCTTGCCATTGCTATAGCAACTATAATGAAGGGAAACTGCCACAATGGATCTTTTATGAAGAGTAACATAGTTCTTGCATAGTAACCATATCTTAACTGGGGTATTTGTAGTAAGGCCACTGGTTAAACCATAGATGGCTTCTCAGGTAAATGTAATGGTACTGCATAAAAACACAGTATGATTGCTGTAGCAAAACCGTGGTCATTTTTTTCATAACTTTGGTTGGACTTCAAACAGGAAATGGATATTGAAAGTCTGGAAGCAGCCAATCAGAGCTTACAAGCAGATTTGAAGTTGGCCTTTAAGCGGATTGGGGACCTGCAGGCTGCTATGGAAGATGAAATGGAGATGGATGATGATGATGACCTCATCAACAGGTATGAGGATTAGTCTCCTGAACTCTCCTTAGTTTCCATGGCAACAATTCTCTGAAGTTGATCAGGACAACCACTGCATGTTACTATTGTTTACATAGACCCTTTTTAAGTTATTTTGCTTTTTTTCTTCTTCTTTTGTTTCTTGTCTCCAAATTTTTTTTTTATATGATCAACTACTTATTTTCCTTTCCCCCCTATATTTTCATCTATTTTTATTTTATTTTTGGCAGTTTACAAGACATGGTGACAAAGTATCAGAAAAGAAAGAACAAAACGTGAGGATGCTAAGTGGTGATTGTTTCTAATCTGTTTGTTGGTTTGAGTTTATAATGCTATTCATTGTAAGAACTTGAAAATGCTGTTGTATTACTCTGCAGTCCAACAAACCATGATAAGTCTCGCATGGCAAGTATTATTTTCAGCTGAAATGGGAAGAATTATTAGTCCAATAACTAATTTGATAATACAGCAGCATTTTCCTGTCTTCATGAGCATGTGCTGCAATTTTAACAATATCATTATGTGTTGCTCATCTGTTTTTACCCATTACACCATCAGCCATCTTTTTATCAGAGCCATTTATACACCCAGAAAAATATGAAAATATCAAATTTAAACATTGAAAAACACAGAGAAGCCACTTTTAAATTAATCCCACTACTAAACCCGTTTTCATTGTTTGAAAATCCAAATTAATGTAAAAGTTTCAATTCTTACATTCTCAATTCTTAAAGTTTCTAGTGCATCTTGCTACTTAACTGTGCTTAGCAAGTTGTGATATGTTCATGTGTGTTGTTGTGCAAGTGTAACTGCTTGGATTCTGGAAAGGGGGAATCAATTGCATTCGGTTGATTTGCTGTAATTGAGTGGAACTGCGATATGCAACCAATAGAAGCAGATTGTCACAGTCTATTAGCATTTAAATGTGAGCTGTGTGTGTGCTTAAGCTTTAAATTGTGTGTGACAGTAAGTTGAAATTCTCCAGAAGCATCTGTAGCCTAAATTCACTGTACTCATGGCATCCCTGGTTGTGTGTCTGTGCAGTTTTTGTACACAGATTTATACTTGTATAAGCTTTTGTGTATTTTCTTAAAATCAAAGCTTGATATAAACTGTAATAGTGACTGCAAAGGCTTATGGGAATGATATAACGTGCCACTGCGTTCACAGAGAGAATGCAGTAAAATATCTGCCTTTAGTGCTATTGTGAAACGGATTGAAATCCTCTTTTCCCCTATTTCTTTTATTGAAACCACGTGTTGTTTTGGCACTAACCAAAGTATCGTAACCCTCTTGCCTTGATCAGCCAAAATGACCTTTATGTCAGCTGCTATATTTGATTGAGCTTCTCTTGTTGGCAGTGGAGATGAATCGGATATGGACTCTGAGGTGGAGGACCGCGTAGATGGGGTGAAGTCATTGCTCTCCAAGAGCAAAGGATCCGCCAAGACACTCTCTGATGAGGGCACCCAGAAAACCACCAGGTCAGTGTGGAACATATTGGAGTTTAATTATAAAGACTGAGATCATTTTATAATCCCCAGAGCTGGAGAAATTAAACCACACTTAATGGTGTTGGGGAACTGGTGACTAAATTATGAGTTTGTTTACATTTAATATATGGTCTTTTTTCTGAAAGTATAAATTAGTATTTTGATTTTTTAACCCCCTTAAATACATATTTATCAGATGCATATTTAATTTACAGTGTTTCATTTAATCCTCCATAAGTTTTCTTTGGAAAGCTGATTGAACAATCGTTCAAAGAGTATAGGCAGCTTTTGTAGCTAAATTTACAGGGTAAGAACATTGGGGGCGCTACTGATGTGGTTTACCAGAGTACCAGCCAAGACTTACATATGTCCTCTCCATCTGTGCGAAGTGCTAATAAGCTCAAGACAGCATTTGATGGTGTTGGATTCATGACTGTCTCACCGGGAGCTGCTGTTACTGTTCTGTTCCTCAGTAGTATTTGTACGGTGCGGTTACATAGCTGCCATTAGGAATTTAATCCTTTTAAGTTTATTCCTGGGGTTGGTGTAAAATACGCTCCTAAATTACCTCTCAAATCTCTTTCGTTCTTTGAATTCATATTTATCTCTGTTACGGGTATCATCCTGTTTCATTCATTGATCATCTGCAATTCTGCCACTTTAATGTGTTTTCTGTCCGTCTCAGACACACCAATGCTGCTAATGCAGATGTGAAAGATATAAAAGAAGGGAAAGAGGGAAAAGAGGGGAAGGAGGAAGTAAAAAAGGATTCAGATGAGAGCCGTCCATTGTCTGTGATGAGCTCGCTCAGCTACAGGAAACGCTCCCACCAGAAGGACTGGAATGGAGGTGCAGGGGATGACAGCTCTCTCTTCAGTGCCCTTCGGGAGCAGCCGGACATGCCTGACCGATTGTCGTTGCGCAAAGCTAAAAGCAAATCCACAGACAGGCCTCAGACTGGTGATGACCTGGATGACCGGGGTTCAGTGATATCCCAGGCTTACTCTGAGGCTGCCAGTAGGGCCAGGAAAGGTCTAGATCGTCGCTGGACCAAAAGCAGTCCAGAATTTGACAAAGAGTCCATGGTGTCCTCGGTTGCCCCGAGCCGAGCTTCCACACGCCGTGGGATAGACCAAGATGATGATGCTCTGTCTGGTGTGAGCAGCTTCAGCTTGCGACGTAGTACTTCTTGGATAGATGACAGACGTAGTGATTACGGGCCGACAAGTACCCATATGAGTCAACGATCTAGAAGCCGAAGTCCTGGAAGCACCAGCGTCGGCTCACGAATTTCCCTGGCCCGCAGCACCCGACTTAGTGAGTTTGGAGTTCGTTTGAATAATGATGATGTTGATGACGATGATGATGTTGACTCTGTGAGTGTGGCCGCATACAGTTCACGCTCAGTGGGCCGTAGTCTGTCCACTCCTGCCCAGCTACGCTCCTCTGAGAACCCACTGGACGCTTCTGACGTTAAACCTGTGAGCCACCGCAACTACCTGGACCCCGAGCTAGAAAAAGCCATCAATGAAGTCCTGAGCTTCAAGCCAATTAAATTCAAACGCCGCAGCTTAGAAGACTCAGATGAAGAAGAGGAGGGAGGTGGTGGTGCAGGAGAGGAAGAAGATAGGAAGAGCATCAAGAGTTTGTTGCAAGACAAAGACGATGAAGGTCTGGGCCTTAGCGGGTCCAGTCTGAGACGCTCAGCTTCAGGTTCTGCTGTAGATTCTGGACGTTCTGGAAGCTCAATGAGTTCCTTCAGCTCCAAGAGCAGCAAGAAGAAGAACAAGAAGAAGAGCAGGCGCTCTGAGTCTGACAGCTCCTCCAATGAGGGTCATACTCGGCGGCATTCCAGACAGAAAGAAAAGAGAAGATCCAAAAGCTCAAGAAAGAAAGAATCTGCATCGTCCAAGTCTGAATCTGACTCTGAATCATCATCTTCAAGCTCTGCATCAACAGTTTCATACCGCAGCTCAAACAGCGTGAAGAGAACCCCAGGACAGAAAGATGGGGGTCCAGAAAGTCCTGATGAAGAACGACCCCCAAGCAAAAAAGAAATAAAGAAACAGAAGAAGAAAGTGGACAGTCTGGTTATGAAGTATCTCTATAAGCCTGACAGTGATTAAGGATCATTAACAGGTGACCCTGGATGGGCCAGACTGAGGATTGATGTTTTCAAGAAGCTTCTCTCTAAACGCATGATGTGTTCTGCTGTGTGTTAAAATCTAAACAGTAGTTGTATCATTGGATTAAAAGGCATGCCATGACACTGTTGCCTGAACATTGTTTTGGGTTTGGACACAAACAGATTCAAAGTGTGGCCACAGAGTATTGTACTAACACACAAATGCTTATCTTGATTTTTCCAAGTAGGACATGTTCCTTGTTGGTTCTGAAACAATATACTATCAATCAGATCTTTGTGGTAGGTTTGACTTAGATTTTGGAGCTTCAAAAACTTCATGAACCTCTCATTATCAACCATTGATTTTTTTTGGGTACTGGTTAGGGAAATGTTGGAAACTTAATAGGAAAGGATACGGGTAATAAGGGATAGGGGCTTCAGGCTTTTTGTTAATTCGACAGGATTTTTGTTCCAGGACCAACAAAAGATATTCTTGGAAATGCAGTAAGCCACAATTAATGTACATAAAGCTTTAGAAATACTGGAAGAGTTTAAACTGATAATTGAGCAAGACCTTATTGCAAACAGAGTGGATGTTTTGGAACTACTGTAGATGTGCATTTGTGACCAGCCAGGGACATTCACTCATGACTTTTGTCCTGCTTATCTATCTTTGCATGGCATTGTGCCCGTCTGACCTCTCGCAAGGGACTAGTATGAAGGTGTGGCTATAATCTTATCTTCCTGTTTCTAAAATATTCTTGTGTCTTTTTTTCCCTCCAGCTCCTCACTCTACAGACCACACTCAGTGCAACATGATGAAGACAACACTGGACCAGAGAAAGACACTACACAAACTGAAAGTACTATCCTTAAAGACAGCAATGGTGATGGTCAACCTTCGGAAAGCGCTGCTTAGATCTGATCTGCTGCTCGAGTGCACTGAAAAGTGCCTCAGTTTACCTCTCATCTACCCTAGCACTGATTCACTTCGGTTTCTTCATAGCCTACAATGTGACTAAAGTTTATCAATGCAGGTCTACATATACAGTGTGTTTTAGAGTTTAGAGGTTTTTTTATTTTATTTTTTGCAGCTGCATGGCACCTGTATTCATTTAGATCGCACACGTCTCCATCAACAACCCCTCCAAGAAAATGAAGTAATATATTGTGAAAAGGAAATGAGAATCTTTATCTAATTTATGTTTATTTTATATTGTTAGAGTGTCTGCTTTATGACATTTTGCCTTGAATTTGCTTGAGTGAACTATGTAGCACAGCTTTACTGTAGTTTGCAGTTAATGAAATAGGGTATTTATCTTTCTCTCCTTTGTTCCTTTATGAGCTGGTGAACTACTGTTAACCAGAGGAAGTTAATTTAGCACTGGTTTACTGAATGGCAGCATTTTCATTCTAAACCTCTTTATGATTCAGTTTATTTTCTTGAGGGTGCTTCATGTTTGGGCCTTAAGTGACATTTATAACCATTAATTTAAGATAATTTAGTACTATATAATTTAACTCTGCCAAAATTAATTGTTGATGGGAGTCTAATAATTTCTGATGTGTCTGTGGGTAAGTGTGGTGTGTGCATGAGTGTGTCCTCCCCTGTTTTTCTATTCATTAAATAAGACTTTTATTATGAAAGTACATACAAACAAGAGACTGTTTGTCTGTTCAGTGGCTTATGCAGTAATATATAAAATTATATATAAAAGCAATATATATAAGAAAGAGTTTTGCATTTGTTTTATTGTAAACAAAAGATGTTGACCCATTTTTATGGCTGTGAACTTGATTTCTGGCAGATATGACTAAAGAGTGTCTGTGGGGTAGTTTTAGCCCTTATACCTGGAAGTTGCATAGAGCCAGGCGACCCAGTCAGCTCTTATCATTTGTGTCATATGCAACAAACTGTTACTTAGCGGACTATGGGAAGTTTGTGGGTATGCCATCTGATCCTGAGATAAAGGTTTAAATGCTATATTATATTATATTATACTTAATGAGATAAAAAAGTAAAACAATGGGTCTTATTCAGTTGTGTAAAAGTGGTACTTCCATGTGCAGAAACAGTAGATTCACATTAGGTGCACAAACTTGTTTTAGTGTATATATTGTCCTCAGTTACCCTAAGAACAACAGTGGAAATTTGTTGGGTTACTAATTTTTATTTATTTTTATTTTTTTGAGAAATGTGCCTTATTTTTTAAGGTTTATAAGAACATCTGTCTAGCAGACTAGAAGGAACGCAGTGTGCAAACACAGGAATAGCATTTAATCCCTGGAGTCTCCAGGGGGCCCTTAGATAAACAGCGTTGTGGGAGCGCACAGGAGAGGCATGCTGGGATTTCCCACTGCTTTGTGTTTGGGCTCATCCACACTATCTGTCTACTCTGTTCTGATCCATGTTCACTGATATCATTTGCTCTTCAGTGGAAAAGTTAAACCAGCAGGACACTGGTTTAAACCCTCCCTTGCATTGTTCCATGATTTTCTAGCTGGCAGAGGCTTATGGTGCTTGATTTGATCTGTCGGAGGAAGTGCTGGATGTGTACTGTTTTAGAAGACTGCTGTTTTCAGTGTAAGCCTACATGACATTAATGGGTAATGCATGAGAGTTTGTTTTTTATGACCTGTAGACATGCATGCTTTGTTTTGGTTCAAGTACAATGCTGATCGATGGTTTGGTCTTCTAGGTACTAGTAAAATAATGCAGGTTTTAAATAGTAATGTAACGAATGATAGTCAGACCTTTGTTTTCTTAATTTGTCAAGCGACTCACATCAAAGAGATACTGTTCTACTAAATAGACAAACTGAACGCAATCAGATTAAAGGATAGGGACTAAAGGTCTGTGATAACTACAACCATAAAGTTGTGTATTGTCTTGTTCTGACAGATGATGGGTTGTTTCAGAGGTCTTTTAATATCACATATAAATTTCCCAAGTCTCAACAAGTTTAAACTTATGCTAGAATCCTGTGATTTAACACCCGTCTTTTGCTTTCCGCTTATCGCGGCAATCCCGAAGCTAATTAACATAGCCCTCTCTGGGTTGAGGATGGATTTCTGCTGCTTTAGCTAATGGTCTTTTAATGTGTCCATTGTCAGACAAAGTCAATATAAATTTACTTTACTATTCCCCTAATATATACGCTTTGATCTACTCACTGTGCAGTTCCCGTTTGGATCCCCATTGAAGTGTGGGGAATGTGTGTTGTCTGCAGACTGATGTTCCCGTTGAGAGGGATGCGGGAACATCAGGAATCATGATACAAAGCAGCTAATCGTTTTTTAACAGCTTGCTTTGTTTATAACTGCAGGGTTGGGAGACATAAACGATTTGCAATATGTGAAAGAATTATTCTTAACTAAAAATACTGCATTTTTATTATTCATGCTTTAATGGTCTCTACAGTGTTGAGATCATTATAAAGATCCCCCCAAAGACGTATGTTTCAGAACGTTAAACTGCTTAAAAGTGAAAAATTAATTAGCCATTTAATTCCAAAGTTCATTAGTAGAGCAGATGGAATGAATTATGTAGGGTATATATAGACAAATGATCCAACCATAAATTGCCAGACTGTTTCAGCAGCAGTTTACAGAAATTCTGCACAAGATGCAAACTTTAAACACTAAATAACTCGCGTTGTGCTTAACCCTGGGTTTATTACCATTCTAAACCGCTAGTAGAGAAACATTTCACAATTGTAATTTAGTGGTGTTAGCTCAGAGCAAGTCTTGAACCACTTTTGCGGTGTTAACCCCTGCATTGCAGCAGGGGCGTGGGAAGATGTTTTCGGTTGGGGGTGCTGTGTGTGTCCGTGTTGGGTGAAAGGGTGGAAGTGGGGGGGGGGTCACTTACGTCGGGCAGGGGTGCTGCAGCCCCCTCAGCACCCCTACTTCCCGCATCCCTGCATTGCAGTGAAAAACTTCTGCAATGTAAACTTCTGCAGTTAGAATGTTACTGCTAGATGCTTAGCAACAGACAACCAATCACATACCTCATATTCATGTGCTTTGGACAGTCATAGAAAAATGGCACGATGTATCCACCTACTGCAATTCCTGTTTGGAGAAGTCTGAAACAAATAATAAAGGTAACACTTTAGTTTAGGGAACAATTCTCACTAGTAACAAGTTGCTTATTGGGATGCATATTACTAGCATATTGGCTGTTTATTAGTACTTCTAAAGCATATTAATGCCTTTTTCTATATGACAATATTCTACATCCCTAACCCTACCCAATACCTAAACCTTAAGCGATTTCTGGTAGCCAATGTTGACATTTGAAATCACCAAAACAAACACGCCCCTACCCCAAAAGGGTCTCGCCCCTATTTTGATAGCTCCGCCCCACACATACATACGCAACCCTGGCAACGATTAGTTCTGTGAAACAAAGCAAAACCAATGTTACACCGTATCTACACCAGACGCGAGTGGCGGGGCGCGACAAAAGACTATGGAACTCATTATAATCAGTGATGCTGTCTACACTGTCGCTGTTGCTCGGCTCGGCTAATGTCCATCTTGTGCACTAAACGCTCTCTCCTCCACATCATGAGTACACACGCCCCTTACTGCTGATTGGCTACAAGTTTGTTTTGCTAGTGGTCCCGAATCAGTTTTCTAAAGCATTTTTGAAAAATCGCTTACCCCACCTTTAACAACTACCTTACTAACTATTAATAAGTAGCTAATTAGAAGTTTATTGAGGCAAAAGCTGTAGTTAATAGCTAGTTAATAGTGAGAATTGGTCCCCAAACTAAAGTGTGACGTTAATAAAGTTACAAATAATCCTTAAAAATACAAATAATCCTTATTATACTTAATCCTTAGTAAAGATACAAATAATCCTTATTCATCAGTATGACTGAATGAGCTGAAAATTTTCCTTCATGTTCTATTTTCAGAAGTCAGGAAAATATGCTTGGAATTTTAGTGTGACATGCATAAGAAGAATATTTGTGGAAAGAGCTCCTTTGAAGTCCACTGCATTATTTTCCCCCTTATTTACTTTTTTCCTTTGTATTCCACTGTAACAATGTGAACAACATATGCAGTACTGTGCAAGTGAGGTCTGCTCACCTGATTTAATTTACTTGAATTCCTGAAAATTCATTGAAATGCTCTCGCCTTTATCCCTAATTTCTCACGTCTCTCTCCAGGTTTGTTTTCACACAGATGCTTTAAAATGTAATTGTCTCCCTTTTTCACTTCTAATCCCTATCAGCAGTGTTTACTGGAATGTTTCTAAAGCAGGTAAATACAATATTTGCTATCTGTCAGAATTACAGATATCACTTTGAAATATTATCACTCAGTGTTCCAGTTAATAAACGTTTATGATTAAGGCTATGTAAAGTGATATTTAACAAGTCTGTATTGCTGTGGAAATAATCAAGCTTTTGGAGTTATTCAAGGTCGGCTGTAGCAATTTGTAAAATGCTTTTACACTTTTAAGTTTCCTTTTAATGTTCAGTGATTAAAAAGTGAGTAGATTAATGTCACCTCATTGTACCCTTTTTGGAAAATATTTATTATTGTGTTCATACAGCAAATGTATTTGTTCACCAGAACTGACAGGAACTGGGAAACATTGAAGCGGTCTTTGTGTCTGTCGTAGTGTTATTGTAGATCTACCGTGCAGAACACAGTGACAATAAACCTTGACTCTCTGCGACCTATTCAAACTGCTGACGAAATGTTTCAGTCAGATCCGGTCCAGCCCTGCTGCCAACAATTTCCCATAAAGATCAGCTAATAAAAAAGCTTTAAAGATGGTTCCAATAGACGTATTCTTAAATAATAAAACCTGCATTTTCTCAGAGCTTAGATTGAACATTTCA